CAGGTTTTGTCAAATCCAGGTTTTGCGAAATCCAGATTTTATTAAATACAGATTTTATCAAATCTAGGTTTTGTCAAATCTAGATTTTTTGTCAAGTCCAGAATTTGTCAAATCCAGATTTTAATAAAACCAGATTTTATCAAGTCCAGATTTTGTCAAATTCAGATTTCATCAAAACCAGATTTTGTCAAGTCCAGATTTTGTCAAATCGAGATTTTTGTGAAGTCGAGATTTTGTCAGATCCAGATTTTATTAAATCCAGATCTAATCAAAACCAGAATTTCTCAAATCCATATTTTATCAAGTCCAGATTTTGTGAAATCCAGGTTTTGTCAAATCCAGATCTTATCAAGTCCAGATTTTATCAAAACCAGACTTTATCAAACCAGATTTTGTGAAATCCAGATTTTATCAAGTCCAGATTTTATCAAACCAGATTTTGTCCAGTTTTTCACAGAGGGAATTGGTTTAAAATCAATTTTAAACATCCCCAGAATCTCCAGACCCGCGTCACAGCGCGGGAACAGCGGAGGAGAACGAATTCCTGAACAATTCTCTCATTCCTTCCCCCGCCCCATCCCCTTCCCAACCCATCCAAGGGAAAATCGGGATTTTTCTGGAGCTGACCTTGATCTTGACCGCCTCCTCCAGGGGCCGGTCCATGAGGACGTTGAAGGAGAGGAAGAGGCGGCGAATGGCATCGTTGAATTCGTTACCGTCCTCGTTCTTCCCGTAAACGCTGCCAAGAACAGCACAGACCCCGTGCTATATATATATATTTTTATTTTTATTTGTATTTATAAGTAGTTCAATTTATTTTATTTTTATAAAATCCCGTGGCTGAAATGGGATTTTATCCCGTGGAACAAATCCTAATACCATTTCCTTCTAAAAAAAAAAGGGGGTTAAATCGGTATTGGGAGTTTTGCAGAGATTTCCTGCTGAAAATGGGGAAAATGAGGGGAAAAGTTGCGTTTTTGAAGCTGCTGCAGCAAATCCCTGCTCTCAGATAAAATTCCTGGGTTACAAATTCCTGGGTTTCAAAGAATAAAACAGAAAAATTAAAAAAGTCAGAATGGACGTGAAAAAAGGGTTTCAAACCATCCCTGTGAATCTCTGAAAAGATGTTTTTGGGGTAATAAATTCCAATAAAAGAGCTCTCATTGCCCTTAGCCCAAGTGGAGAAAGCGTCATCCCCACCTCACCTAAAAATTTGTGTACATTTTTTCTTGAAATTTATGAAAATGAGGACAAAATTCCCTGTTTTTCTTCACAAAAATCAATATTTGGCTCCTTTTCAGCCCTTCCACCTTCTGCTCAT